CGTCCTAAGTGCAGGACTCTGCACTTGTCCTTGTTGAACCTCATCAGGTTTTTTTTGGCCCAATCCTCTACCCTACCTGAACTGAGAACAGTCATTCCTGGTAGTATCTTAAAGTGAACATGTCTCATGTATCTCTCTGGGATGAAAGCTCTGTAATTAGTCCATATCTAGTACAAGGGCCTGACCTACTAATAGCAGGCCTGCAACCTACCATGTACAAGGAGTATATGACAAGTGGGGCTTTTACAACCTACAGCTTCCTACATCTGCAGGTTTGGCAGCATTGTCTGAATCAGTCCTGGCATGAATATAGTTACTTCCATTAAACCAGAGGTTCTCAACCTTTCCAGACTGTTGTACCCCTTTCAGGAGTCTGATTTGTTTTGCATACCTCAACTTTCACCTCACTTAAAAACTACTTGCTTACAAAATCAGACATAAAAATAAAAAAGTGTCACAGTACACTATTACTGAAAAATTGCTTACTTTCTCATTTTTACTATGTTATCATAAAATAAATTGGAATATAAATATTGTACTTACATTTCAATGTACCCGAAGCCCAAGCCCTGCCAACCAGGGCTGAAGCATGTAACTTAGCTTCATGGGCAATAACTCTGGGCAATAACTCTGCTTGCCACTCCCTAACACCGGCTCTGCACTTGTGACCCCCCCTAAACCCAACCTGCGACCCCGCTGGGGGTCGTGACTCCCAGGTTGAGAAACACTGAACTAGGCAAATATATAGATGAGTTGATGTACTCCCTAAAAGACCTCTGCATACCCCCAGGGATACACATACCTCTGGTTGAGAACCACTGCATTAAACCCTTCAGTAAATGTCTTGTTTGTCTGAATGGAGATGTGTGTAAAGTATAGAGATTCAAATATCAGACTGACAATCAGGGTTCGTTCACCTCAAGGGGAGGACAGAAGGTTTAAATCCCCCAAAACGAGCAGTTGAACCAACTCATTGCAGTTTAATAGCCTAAATAATAAGTAATTTACTACATTCCAAACCATAAAAAAACAGTTATAAGCATTTGATTAAAATACTTACAAAAAGGCTAAAGTCAGGGTGCTTAGATCCATATTGGTCGCCGCTAACTGGGTCAGACAGATATTAGCAATGAACCCTCCAAGAATTCACCTTTTATACCCTTTAATAAACAAATGATGTTATTGCCTCTTACTAACTTAGCTAACTAAACAGGTTTTGGCCGATTTGGGAACATTGCTGGTTCATGGTGCACAATCCTTTCTTATTATTAACTACCTCTGACAATTGGGGCTGCTTCTTCCTTCTATTTTATCAATTACCTTTCAGGTCCAGCATTCCCAATTAAGCCATTTTCTTTCAAGGCCTTCCTATAACTGCTAACAGACCTGCACTCAGGGTCATCCTTACCCATACTGCTCCAGCCCCTGCTCCACCTCTTCCCCATGCCAGCGACCCCTGCTCCGTTCCAGCCCTGCCCCCATTCCACCCTTTCCCCAAAGCCCCTGCCCTGCTCTGCCCCCGCCCCGCCTCTTCCTGCCCCTGCTCCGCCCGAGGCCCGCCCCCACTCCCCTGAGGACTGCTGCAGGGGACGGGCCTGCACTCACCGCATGGTAAGTGGAGTGACCCAGACCCAGCCTGCTCCACTCCCCTGGCTCCCAACTGGTGAGTGCTGGGGGGCTGTTCCCCTCTGCCCCCCAAGCCTGGAAGCCAGGGAGCAGAGTGGAGCAGGTTGGAGCCAGGGGGGCGGTTTCCCCCTGCCCCCCAGCCCTCTCCCGGTGGAGGCCTGGGGCCAGCCCCCCCATGGAGGCTTGGGTCCCCACATAGCCCCCCCACAGGCGTAGGGCCCAAAATGGCTAGGGACTGCCCTGCCTGCACTTTACATGGCCTTATAAAAACATATATTTTTTACATTTCAAACTAACTTAACCCTTTATTTCCTACACTAGCTCATCTGACCATTTGCTTTTGCATTATCTATTCAGGAGGTGAAGCACCATCTCTGTGCCAGGCTGGTGAAGAAAGTGCCACTGTTCCAGCACTGTGATCTGAACTTCCTGAATGCAGTGATTATGCATCTCAATATTGAACTGTTCCAGCCTAGAGAGGTCATCATAGTAGAGGGTTCCTATGGAGATAGGATGTACTTTCTTGAATATGGGAGAGTCCTCGTAGAGAGCAAGTCCATGACAAAAGAACTGAAGGCTGGAGATTACTTTGGAGGTTTTTCTGCTTGTTTTGATAATAGTTTTCCGAGCGTTAGTCTAGAGCAAACGAGACACCCAAATTCTACCCAATCAGTGGCCATGTTTTCAATTTATCAGAAGCCCAAGGGAAACTGCTAAGATGCAGGTGCACCTTCATTTTAAAATAGAGATGCTGCCCTCTGAGATTTCTGCCTATAATATTCCATTTCAAACAGAAAGGCTTTACTCTTGGATCAGAATGGAGCATTGCAATGCTGGGACCAGTATTCTGAGGTCTACAACCCCCACATGAGGACGTCTTTGTGCCTTAATGTAGGACTCCTCATCTGCCTTTGCCCTGCAATGGGGCAGACACTGCTTGGCCTCATTACTTATTGACCCTAGAATCCTAAATAGATGCACATAAGTCGCTACATTGCTCTGGGCAGAGAAAACAGTCTTGAGCTTAAAGGGGCAATGTCAACTGAAATCTGGTAAATTACAAAATAATTAGAGGAAGTTTTAGGTTTTATTCCTGTCCCTGAATCCCTTGGTCAATTATTGTGATTTTTTAGTTTCAGCAAAAATGGTTCAGCCATTCCACGAATGGGATTTGAGAAAATATGTTGCTTTGCCCATGTTAACAAAATCATTGTAAGAAACTTTTTTTTTAGACACTCTAACATCTTCATGCTTTGGAGCAGGGACTTGAAATTTGGCAAGAGAGGTCACCCTAGTGTCAGGGATGTACTTTTGCTGGACACATGAAAACTGATCCAAATTTGGCCAAGTTTTGAGCCTTCTGAAAAACTGCACTTTGCATATGCTCAAAAGAGACTTGTTAGAGTTTGACTGCTACATTGATTCCCTCTCCACTGAGCTGCTTCAGCCTCTCACAGCCCCTAGTGCCTACCAGACTGCACATGCACCATCCCCACAATGCTACTCAGCATTCTCCATCCCAGGGCTGCACGTGTGGGCTGAGCAGGACTTTCCCTGTAGTTACTGCTCCAGATTGCTGTTGTGCCAGGTACCAGAACTGAGAACAGGGAGAACCTTAATTCCTTCCTCAGATCTTTCTGTGCAGAGATCTTCCTATTTAAGGAGTGTGCTCGGAGTATGACTGTCACAGCTCTCACCACGTGCCATTTATTCTCACTGTCTGGTGATGAATTGAAGGAGTTGCTGGAGGCATATCCAGAGCTAGGAGAGGAGATTATAAAGTGCGCCATCCATAACTGGGAAAGCCTGATCGGTGAGTCTTGTGTCTGAGCTCTCTGTCAATAGAAGCAGGGGAAGGAAATAGTGTTAGGGCCCATCTGTCTGTCTATTGCCCCCCACCTTTTTGGGGGGGAGTAACTCCTTAAGGGTGCTAGATTCCAGGGATCAATACTTTTTACAAGGGTGAGCTGTGTCGCTTTCCCACTCCAACACTGGGCCTTCAGGCTCCAGCACCTCTATCTCACCGTGAGCTCTCACAGCACGTCCATCTTAGGCCATCTCTACACTAACATTTATGTCGACAAAATATATGTTGTTCAGGGTTTTGAAAAAACACACCCCTGAGTGACATAAATTTCACTGGCATAAGTGGTAGTGTGTGCATAGCTACCGCCACTCATTGGGGTGGTTTTATGATGTCAACGGGAGAGCTCTCTCACATCGGCATGGAGCGGCTACACGAGCGATCTTACAGCAGCGTAGCTACATCGGTTTGCTCAGTACAGGACTACCACTCCCATCAGCCCACTTGCCACTGCGCTTCCCTTTCCTCTGGCCAGGTAAGGGGAAAGGTCCTGAGCCAGAAGTGGCCAGGCTCTGTTTGGAAGAGGTAGCACATGGCAAGGGGAGCTTCAGGGAAGCTGAAGCAGCAATCGCATGGGAGCAGGAGAGAGGCTGGAGACAGGAATGAATGCAGAGCCACATGGGAAACAGGCTGTAACTGCTGGACATCACAGCTAGGTGCAGCTCAGTGTGGGATTTATGGGGGAGCAGCAGCAACTGGTCAGGGAGCCAGTGCAGTGGGACCTGGTGAAAGATACTAACTGAGCCTGACTTAGAAACCTGCAAAACCCCAATTTGCTTTGAATAGAGACTGGACTCGATAGGGCACCCTAGGGCAGTAGCCCTGTAGAGCCCTGACTCTCAGTTGGACTACCACGGGGATCCAAACAGGAACCGCTGTTGCACATTTAGAATGGTAACTGTTTAAGCCTCTGTACCTAAGGTATTTGTAACCTTTCCCACCAGCCCTAGTAAAATAACCTTTCCCTTAGCCATGTCTCAGAGTGGCTATTGGGACCCACCAGCCTACAAGGCCTAGCTGCCGAAGCATCGACAGTGCTTGCCTCTGAGTTGTGGTGCACCTGGCAAACTATTGGCACCCTAGGGATTTGGTGTACTCAGGCACAGAGCCTCAGCAGTATTTACACATGCTCCCAGCAAGTATCTGCAGCAACACAGATACCTTTTCAAAACAAGGCAGCATTTATTAGTCAACTGGAAATCAGCGCCGGAGAAAACTTTAGGTTTGCATGGAGAAGCAAAGCTTAAGACAGAGTGCATGCTGGCAGATGCAATCGCCCCCTTATTCCATGTCTTCCTCAAATCCATCCTGTCTCTGTGGGCTATGGGTGCTACAGAGGCACAGCTGCAGTGCTTCAATTATGCCGCTGTGGTAACTGTAGTGTAGATGCTTCCTACATCGATGGAAGGGGTTTTTCCATTGATGTAGGTAATCCACCTCCCCAAGTGACAGTAGCTAGGTCCATGGAAGAATGTTTCCCTCAACCTAGCTACCTTCACTCAGGGAGGTAGAGCTTCTACAGCGACAGAAACACCCTTCTGTCTCTGTACTCTGCACTTACACGGTGGGGGTGAAGGTGGCATAGCTATGCCGCTGTAGCCTTTGTCGAGTGTAGAAATGTTTTGAGGCATACACATGGATTCTAAATATATTACTAAAAGTTCCCATATTCATCATTCCATCCAGGCTACAGGTACAACTATATTCAGTAACCAGTGTGTGACACACTTATTTGAGCCAGTTACAACAAACACAGCTGAATTTTGCCCACACAGCAGCTTTTTCACAACACAAATATGTGCCAGACAACTTTCTGCATTCCGCCAACCATGGTGCCAGGCCACATTTCTTTTAGTGCATTCTGGGATATCTGGGCAGCTAGCATATAGTGCCTCGTCAGGGGATAGAGTTACCAGAGGACATACCTGCACCAACATCACAGAATGCTAGAAGGGGGAAGGCCAAACTGTTTACACGGGCATCTACACTACAAAACAATGTGCTGAACTGGTCCCATGTAGACAGTTGTGTATCCTCCTAGGCAAGTAACATGGTGAAACACTTAGCTCCCATGGTGACTGAGCATTAACTCTGTTGTGTGACAGAGCTGCATGGTTACAACGTCTGTTAAAAGCTGTCATGCCAAAAGGGGCTTTGTGTTTTAACTGAAGGCATTGCATGGAACTGCCCTGGAAGCAGCTGGCTGTACAGAGGAAAGTTTTGCTGTCATCAGTAGTTTCTATAACTTAGCATTGGCTAAGTCAGCACACGGTTCACAGTTCCTCTGAAATAGAGAAATGGACACAGGAAATCCGTTGGTTTTCCCCCTTTAATGTCTCGAAAGAATAAGAGTTTCAGGTTTCTGCAACTCTTCTGGTAAGGGCAGGAGCTGTGAAGTGAACTAACCACAGTGATCAGACAGCTGTGGTGCCTATTCATTTTACCATTGCATTAAATGAGCATGTATACCAGAAGACTGCTTTTCCCCTGGGTATTGTCAGGGCCGGCTCTAGGCACCAGCAAAACAAGCTGGTGCTTGGGGCGGCACATTTTTAGGGGCGGCAGGTTTGAGAGCCTGGGAGGGAGGGAGAGACCCCGAGCGGCTGCGGCGCACACACTGCTTCTCCCTCTCCCTCCCTCCCTCCTAGGCTTGAGAGCCTGGGGGGAGGAGGCAAGGCTGGGGATTTGGGGAAGGGGCGGAGTTGAGGCGGGGCCGGGGGTGGGGTAAGAAAAAAACGGGGGGAGGGAGGGGCGGCCAAAATTGTTTTTGCTTGGGGTGGCAAAAATCCTAGAGCCGGCCCTGGGTATTGTATCAGGGGGTAGTCCCCTAGTGCCATTCCTCTACTTGCGCTACATTGATGACATCTTCATCATATGGACCCACGGAAAGGAGGCCCTTGAAGAATTCCACCCGGACTTCAACAATTTCCACCCCACCATCAACCTCAGCCTGGACCAGTCCACACAAGAGATCCACTTCCTGGACACTACAGTACAAATAAGTGATGGTCACATAAACACCACCCTATACCGGAAACCTACTGACCGCTATACGTACCTACATGCCTCCAGCTTCCATCCAAGACACATCACACGATCCATTGTCTACAGCCAAGCGCTAAGATACAACCGAATTTGCTCCAACCCCTCAGACAGAGACAAACTCCTGCAAGCCCTTAACCAAGCATTCATAAAACTACAATCCCCCCCTGG